ACATTTTGTTTCAACAAGATGGCGGCACTTCCCACACATCACATCAATCAATGGATTTATTGAGACACAGTTTCGATGGAATTTCCGGTGATCACGGATTTTGATTGGCTCACATGTTGATCGTTYTCACGACCACTTTGAAAACGTTGAAACCACTTGTGCGCTCTGCTACGTAATGGGCAATCATCGCCATAAATTGTTTCATGAATTGAAACGTTTCGGTAAAAGTTTTACCAATTGTTTTAAACAAGAGTAAATGTTGGCACTCTGCTTCTGATCTTAAACCAAGTATTCTCTGGGTCCAAGGCCAAAAACATGACTCCACGGGGTTTTGCGTTGGGTGTGGGACTGTCCGGTGCCTTAATTGGGAAGGTGCCGCTGCCCAGTTGGTTGATGTCCTCGTGAAAATAAAGGYTGATATCACCGCCGTCCAAGAAGGGCAAAGGGCGGCCAAGGACTCTGACGAGTAGGTGCTATGGCATTTACTATAGTGGCCATATAAAGAGCATATTTATATGGATGCCTATTCTCTATCTGCCAATCCATAGCTACATTACACAAAGGTGAATGGTTTGTGAGAGTTTGAAATACACATTTGTGAGTCAGTAAAAATATGGATACAACTCTGAGGTTTTTGATAAATCCGAACAACCTTTTAAAATGTTGGATCGGTGATGCTCAACATAATTTGAAACCAATAACTTCAAAAATATCACATTCATATTRCTTGTGAATGGAAATAACACTTCCTTTTGTTTGGAAAATTTTCATCAAAAGCAATAAAATTTGGTTTTTGTTAAGTACAGTAGTTTATTTCAGTTTCACTTGCTTTACATAGCGTTCAATAATGTTGTACTTAATGTTAGTATAAATGTATGTATAACCGGCTAATATATAACTTATTTTCTAACTTCTTATATTCCTTTCACAGATTTACAGTTTATGTTATTTTTTTTACATATTTATGTATATATATTATTTTAACATTGCAGTGCACGTTTCTTGTTCCGATAGTCACTTCTATGTATGTTAGCAGCGGCTGTTAATTCAACATACAAATACCGATAGTTCCATCGCAGAGTGTTAATGAATATTTTTAACATTCTGTTGTGGTATATACAAGTATTAACATTCTCTACTGTGACTCACTGCTACGGGTATTCATTTTCCTTAATCTCATTGCTTTTGTGTAGAACGACCGAAAACGAAAGTTTTATAAGGAATTGTAAATGAATTTTGAAGAATAAATTAAACTCAAAATAATAGAATGAAAAGGCAAATTTGGTATTCATATTTATTGAGTGCTAAATCAATAGTCTGCATATTTAAAATAATCTTTTCTTTGTTAGTAAAACAGTTACGAAAGAATTGATTTATTGTTGTCGACTTTATAAATTATTATTTGTGCAAAAATTTTACTTTCTTTAAAAGTTGAAAGTGTGAAGAATAAGAAATTACAACAAATCTTTTGTTCGCAAATTTTCGATTAACTTTTGTTTTGTTACTATTTGTTG